TAGAAGACTGGAGATTAAATCATATGATGAACAGTTGCAGGAACTGGATAATATGCCTACTCTAAGAAAGAGAAGGACTGGGGTTGACATGATAGCGATGTTCCAATATTTGAGGGGCTGTCACAGAGAAGAGGGGGGGGGGTCAACCTATTTTCAAGAGCACCTGAGGGCAGTACAAGAAGTAAAGTTTATCAAAGAGAGAACCAACCTAGAACTAAGGAGAAATTTCGTGACAGTAAGAACAATCAGTGGAACAACTTGCCTCCAGAAGTTGTGGGTGCTTCATCACTGGAGGTGTTTCAAGGAGAAATTGGACAACCATTCGTTTGGAGTGGCATATGGTCTCCTGCTGGAGCAGAGAATTGGACTAGAATATCTTTAAGGTCCCTTCCCACTCTTATTAATTCTAAGTACATTCTAATTAATTTCTAGGTCATGTTTGTATTCTAGGTCATGTTCATAGTCAGATCTATGATCCATTTGTGAATTTCAGAATAACTCCCCCCCCCCACCGACTTAAATTATTTTTAGTTGTTTTAATAATGATCACCAAAGAATTGCTCCATTTCAAATTGTAGATATTTTTCCATTTTCTAAAGGATTTTCTGACAGTTGCAGTTTAGGTGACCTAAGCTATCCAAAGTAAATGTCTTAGCAGTGATTCTTTTCTTTTTCTTTTTGGTAATTCATAGCTGCCACTGGAGAGGCCTTGCTCTAAAGAAAATTGTTTTCTTTTTGTGCTTTCTTTCTGCAGTTGAATCTGAATAACAATGCCAATTACTGACTTTATCATTTTGTAGCCTCTAGTGAAAATAAAAATGAAAATCACAGACACCCTGAATGCAGCAAATTCAATCAAAACTGCTGATGGGAGCAAATCAACCTTCACCCTCCCTCCCCTCAAAAAAGAGAGGGAACCCTTGCGGTATAAAATGAATAATATGGAATAAAATGACACATGCTTGTTTTTTTTCCCAGACAAATTGACAGAAGAAAGAGGATTTAGCATTTTTTCTTTAAAAAAAATTGTATCTATTCTCTTAATGACTCACTAAATGCTAAACTGTTGCACTGCAACAGCAAGATGGAAAATAATCAATGTAAATATGTCTTGTTTTGCCACCTGATGTAAACAGCTTAGGTACAATTCCTTGTTATAAATGGCATTCTGCTTTCTAGAGCTGGGTTTTACAATTCGGTTAAAAGCCAGGTGCTACATTTACTTTATTTGTACTTATGTAAGTAATATCAAAGGGACACAATGGCTCAGTGGCTAAGACGCTGAGCTTGTCGATCAGAAAGGACAGCAGTTTGGCGGTTCGAATCCCTAGTGCCGAGGTAATGGAGTGAGTTCCCGTTACTTCTCCCAGCTTCTGCCAAACTAACAGTTCAAAAGCATGTAAAAATGCAAGTAGAAAAATAGGAACCACCTTTGGTGGGAAGGTAACAGTATTATGTACGCCTTCGCATTTAGTCATGCCGGCCACAAGACCACGGAGACATCTTCAGATAGCGCTGGCTCTTTGGCTTTGAAATGGAGAGGAGCACCATCCTCTAGAGTCGGGAATAACTAGCACATATGTGCGAGGAGAACCTTTACCTTTAAGTAATCTAATTCATTTTTATAAATAGGCATCACATTTTTCCTTTCCTATATTCTACACATTTTGCATCAAAATCTTTCTCTTTTAATGCCAAATCAATTTTTATTCAGCCTTTGTTATTATATGCCCCCTTTTTAGAGAACTGTTGTACCAATGAATGTCAGTATTCAATTTTATTGACACATCCTTGATATTCTCTTCACCAATTATTTAAATTAAAAGTCTTGCTCTTGAGTCTTTTGTTTCAATTAGTCTATATAGATATATATATTTAATAATGTCTACTTTAGCAGGAGAATCCAGCTGGCTGCTTAACTCATATAGGAATTGCGAGCTTTACAGTTATTTATTGTTTGCTTCACCAGATCAAATAATTGACCCAAATAATTCCCCCACCCCACCCCTCTAGGGCACTATTATTTCTGACCTCCGTTTTACTGAACTGAAAGTCAAGGGTAAGCAGACACTTTTAGGGCTGTAAATATTTTCCTTGGCTTTTTGCTCAGACTTTCATTACCTTTTTTTTTTAGATTTTTCTAATTAGGAACTTAATTATATGAAAAACTGACCTGCTCCAAATAAAAGTACCAGCCTCAAATGTCAACTTTGTAAAAATTTTCTCACAAGTCCCATGCATAGAATTAAAAAAATAAATAGAAATGTTAATTAACTCCAGCCCAGCTTGCACCACTTTGAAAATCTATAGTATTGTATTCCTTTTGAAATATTAACATGGTGAATAATATTCCTTTCATTTGTTAGCTTTTCTTTCTGCCTCTTTAGGCAGTCACTTGTTTTGGCTGAAAGTTTAATGGAAATTTGCTCTGTCAAAATGTCATCTTCTTGGTTTCATCTTCTGGGAGCTGTCAGTCCTAGTTGACCAATTGTAAAAGTTGACAGTTGAGTCAAATATAACTATCACTTATTTTTCTATTTTTGGTGCTAGGTCATCCAGATTTTGGCTAGGATTTTTCCTCCCCAACTTTTAACATAATTTTCAAAGAAATCGCCTATAAAGCTCTGTTTTTACTGATTCATTGGATGTTTAGAATTATTCTGGAAACCTTGTCAAAGGTAGCATAGAGGAAGATGGACATAAAAATTAATACTGCACAAATCCAGGTCAGACTATAGAATTGTTTTAAAGGATAATAACATTTTTAAAGGCAGCATGAGTTTAGTATACAAGAATGAAAATATGTTTTATGAAATCTGTGGATTGTTTGATAAATACAATACAGTGCGGCACACAAAATTTGATTTATTCACCACATGTGTGGGCTTGTGTGAGAGAGAATAAAGGAAGAGAGGAGAAATAAAACTTCCATAAAATATATACCATTTTTTAATATATAGAATTGACACAAAACAAAAGTCACACCATCTTCTCCCTGGTCACATGGCCGCCATTTTATATGCTCGGAAACTTCTTCGCATTTATGACTGGTGGCTGGGAGTTCTGCAGTCATGTGTTTTGGCCATTCCAATCTGTCTCTGCTCTGTTTTCCAGAAAGTCAATGGAGAAGCTAGCAAGGAAGGTTATAAATTCAGATTTAGATCTGTTCCTCCATCCCAAGAGAGATTTATTCTTCACCCTCTGTGCACTGTAGGAACTGGCCTTGAATCTATCAAAAATGCTAGCGAAGGTCATTATTCTGAATCTTTCAGAATCTACTGGTGTTCATTAGTGTTTTGGCTAGCACCATCATTTCCACCTATCAGAGAGAAAAAGGTAATCTAACCAGGCAAATTCCTACTTTTGTTCTCCTGTAATGTGTTGGCTTGTGTGCAATGAGAGTAGAGATGATGAGGCATATACTTTCCTATTCGTTTCAGAGAGATACCTATCTGCATATATGTCAATAGCATAGTTTTATTGGCATCACTTCAAACTTTGGTTTAACATTCTACTTTTACATAAAGCTGACACACATTTCTTTTCTTTTACAGCTACTCCATGTCAATATTAAGATATTTATCTATTAACAGCTGGCTTAGTCTTAAGAGAATTCATTTTATGAATGCTTTTCATGGTTTTAAAATAAGTCTGGATAATATTACTACAGGTTATGTTATATCTTATTCCTAAGAACATTTTTTTTCTTAGAAATAAAGTGCTTAGCCATTTGAGAAAGCAGATAGTGAGCAACAGTTAAGCTACCATGAATTATCTAGCTGTTTAAGTTGGCAAACTGTTGGTTTTCTTCATACTTCTATCTTTGGTTCTTAAGTGTAATCTTTGGAGCAGTTTTTGACATCAAGAGAAAGATATGAAGGTGTTTGTATGCCTGGTTTAAACATTATTTTATTTAGGGATGCACCACAAGTATTTTTGAACTGGACTGATCAGACAGCATTCCTTGTCAAGCATGCTTGAAGAAATAACTGATATTTAAAGATCCTTTGTGTTGTTATACTTTGCAGCTATGCTGGAAAAAATATTTACAGATATACTATTCATGTACAGTATATTGGATAAATAAAAGGTTAGATAATAATGTTGCAAATTGTACTCTTTCCAACCTGCTATCCTTCAAGGGTATTTCAACTTTCACCCTAAATTATTATTAATTAATGCTAAATGAGTACATATTCCATAATTCCATATTATCTGGACAGTACTGGACAATATATTAGGAGAAGGTTTCTGTAGATCAACTCTAGTTGTATATGAAATTAACACATAGCAATATTTTGGTGTGCAGGAAGATTAGAGTGTGAGAGGGTTAATTAAAGAAACAGTTTTTGCCATTAACCAATGAATTTGAGTTTCTCTTTTTACTCATTCAACTAGACCTAAATAGAATTTTGCCTCCCTTTCCTCTGTTCTGAACTCCTGCTTTATTTATGTGGCCATAAATTCTTTGGTTGTCAGGATATTTTATTTTGAATCACAAATGACATGCTCACTCTTTTAGTTGTGCTTTTTACAGATATACGTGTAGATATCTAAAAAGGGACGCGGTGGTTCAGTGGCTAAGATGCTGAGCTTGTTGATCAGAAAGGTCAGCAGTTCTGTGATTTGAATCCCTAGTGCTTCCTATCAGAGTGAGTTCCCATTACTTGTCCCAGCTTCTGCCAATCTAGCAGTTTGAAAGCATGTAAAAATNTAACATAGTTACCTAAATTGTCAGGAAACATGATGTCCTATGACAAAATGGAGGTCATTTTCGGATTCAGCGCACCAAAAAACATAAAGATTATGGGGAGTAACCAAAACAGCTCTCGAAAAAATGATTTTTGCAGACCTGTGTAATTAAAACAATTTAATTTGAACAGTTTCCATTTGCATTCTCTGGCTTTCATTTCCTACATTAAGAGATTGCACCAGGCAATGAAACCAAAAATGGATTTTGCTGATTTTCAAGTCCATTTGCGTTAACCTGTTCCACTTTGAAAAGTCGGATTGCATTAAGACATTGGATTTCTTGATGATCGTTGTGAGATTGAGTTATCATGCTTCCTCTGGGAAGGTAATACAATGCAGAATGTCTAATTCGAGGCATTTTTTTCCTATTATCAACAAATGTTTTTTTAGTCCTTTGGATTGGAAAAATTATTATTTATTATATTTGTGTTTTCTGCCTGTCAACCAAAGGTTCTTTTATTATTTTCAGTAGCTGATTAGAAGCATTCATGCTCATTTTCTAAGAAGCTCCCTGAACCATTGTATTCTTTAGCTGGGCGTGGCAATTGTTGTTTGAAAGTGAAGTTCTGTGATACGTTGGAGAATATATGGTTAATCATGGGACACAGTAGGCCATGTGGCATTTAATTTTGTTCTGACCTAGGCTTCCCCAGCAGCATGAAGCCTCGTCCCGATAAACCCCTTTTATTTAATTTACAGTGAATTCTTCTCCAGCAAAGTCCCGGCCCACAGTCTTTCAAGATAGTTCACAATTACCGACCTTTATCAGGCTTGGAGAGTGGTCAGGCTGATATCTTTCAGATACCGCAATACTTGGCAAGAATGCAGGAATGAACTAATTGTCTCTTGCCAACACCCCTCCCCTTTTGCTCCTCTTTTATTCTGTATGGGAAGTGCCATTCACTGTCCACCTGTCGCCTTACTCCCAAGTTGACCCTTGTTCCTTAGCTGTTCCCTTTGTCTGGCAACTCTGCACGTGCGCACACTGGGAACAGCCTCCAACTGTTCGTCTGCCTCACTGATGTTTGACTCCAAAGGCAGCTGATAACTGTCAGACGGCTCTGGCCCCCTCTCTGCCTCCNAAATGACATGCTCACTCTTTTGGTTGTGCTTTTTACAGATATACGTGTAGATATCTAAAAAGGGACGCGGTGGTTCAGTGGCTAAGATGCTGAGCTTGTTGATCAGAAAGGTCAGCAGTTCTGTGATTTGAATCCCTAGTGCTTCCTATCAGAGTGAGTTCCCATTACTTGTCCCAGCTTCTGCCAATCTAGCAGTTTGAAAGCATGTAAAAATCCAAGTAGAAAAATAGGATCCACCTTTCGTGGGAAGATAACAGTGTTCTGTGCACCTTCGGCATTTAGTCATGCTGGCCACATGACCACAGAGATGTATTCGGACAGCACTGGCTCTTCGGCTTTGAAATGGAGATGAGCACCTCCCCTAGAGTTGGCAACGACCAGCACATATATGTGAGGGGAACCTTTACTTTATCTAGAAAGAACTCAAATTTGGTGAATCCAATCTTGAAGTTTTAGATTGATACTGCAAAACCAACCAGTGAAGTTAACTAAATATATCTTTTGATTTATTTCTCTCTTTTTCTTCCCACAAGGAACTACTAATCTTTTTACAGAATTTGCCTACGATACACTGGGGAAACGAAGACATCAGCGTTCTCCTTGCTGAAGCCTACAGATTGAAGTTTGCATTTGCAGATGCTCCGAACCATTACAAGAGATAAAAAAAAAAATTACAAAGTGTGGCTCTGATTGTGATATCAAGTTTACATATTGTGGTTGTGCTGGCACACAATTGTCTACAGTTTCTATATTACTGTTGAGCAAGAAGCTATTGGATTACCAAAGAAATGAGAGTACAGGCTTGGGGAAAATCTTGTTGTACTTAAAAAAGAAATATTCTTGTTCATTGATTAAAGAAAATTAAATTTTATTTTCATTATGGTCCCCTTTTTCTTTGGTAATTGAGTTACCATGCGAATGAATGAAGTGTGTTATGTTCATTGGGATCTAATGACTGATTGTGTTGTCTCCATCAGTTTTATTCCTAGTCAATTATGCTCAACATTTCGATGGAAGCATTTTTGGTGTCTGAGGTTCATGCAAGCTAATAAGAATAATCAGTCTTGCATTGAAAATGAGTACAAATAAATTAGGGAAGAAGGTCATGTAGAGGTGGTTGCACACTTATTTTGTTCTCAAACACAGGAGGTTTAAGTCCTTTTAATATAAAGTTTGTTTACACAATGAAATCCAGGAGTAGATTTTTATGGAACACAATATTTAAAACTTGAAAATAATGCCACATGCGTGGTCAAATGAGATCCTCGGATGTTTTACTTAGCTGTGCGCAGATAATGTTTACTATGTTATTTGACTTTAGAGTTTCCAAAACATATTGACTATAGAATAGGAAATAAGTTTGGTTTGCAATAATGCATTACTAAGCTAATGGTTTAAAACCTTTTTGTGCATGTAGATCTTTTAGTTTCAATATTTTCCTAATTAAAATCTTACTTTATCCATGAAGAATATATTTTGATGTGCTACTGCCTTATGTTGAATTTATAATGTGATGAGGCACTTGATGATGTGATTTGGTATGAGTGTGGGTATACCTCAGCTGTTAGAATATAAGCATGGAATTGCAGTGCGCTGATCAGGTTTAGAAAATTTGGACTGATGAAGTCTCAAATGTATTCTCCAACGTTGGTGGAGACAGCGGTCATGCATGGGTTAACTCAGTCAGTAACCAATAGAACTGAGACTACCAAAGTGATGTCATCGCCTCAGAGGAGTGTCCTCCCGCTTTTTTAGACTCAGTTCAATCCGAATTGGCTGTGCTAACTGTTTTCTCCTCAACTTTTGTAGATATTATAATTACCTTTAATTGGATTTTTTTCTAAATTTCACATCCAAATTGAGAAGAATTAGTGGATAGCTCCTCAAAGCTTATTCTCTCAATTATCCCCCGGGCTTCTTGAAGAGACTCACCAGGGCTTCTTCGAGGCTTCTGCCTCCTGAGCTTACTGGCAATTTCAGAGGCTCTCCTGCAAGCAATGCCTCCCAGCAATGGGCGTTGGAGGCTCCGCTCAGCGCTGCCGCCTCTGCTGGCTTCCAGGCCTTTCCCTCGTGCTGCCAAGCCCTCAGCCACCTCCAAGCGCTGCCAAAAGCTGCCAGCAACTGCAAAAAAAAAAAGGTGGAGACAGCAGTCATCCCTACCCTTTGGTTCCTGGCCTAATTTGCGGAGGGAGTTTTGGAGCTAGGCTGGAGTTTTGGAGGATTGAAAGCAGTCGACGAACGCACAGCAGTCTACTTATCTTCTTCATCACAAAAGTGGGAGGACACTCCTCTGAGGCAATGACATCACTTTGGTAGACTCAGTTCTACTGGTTACTGACTTGAGTTAACCCATGCATGACTGCTGTCTCCACCTGCCTCGAGAAGGGGCGTATCAGTATAAGAACCAACGCCCCGCTCTCTTGCAACCATCATGCAGAGTTTTTGATAAGAGCCAAATTATATATGTATGTTTAGCAGCAACCTATTGAAGGAATTCAGTGAAAGGACTTGGTTAATAATATAAATGATTTGGCTTTCTAAAATATTCATCAACTATTAATCTTTTGAAGGGTCCAATTTAACAGACTCAAGCAGTTAATGTTTCCACTTTGACCGAACCAATGATTTTTGTATAGAGGAAAGATTGCTGCAAAATTAGCAATGATACCAGTATGCCAGATCTACTAAATATGATCTATGAAAACCTCTTTATCACTCATATCTTCACTAAGTCCTAAACCAATCTGAACTATAAATGGAATAAGATAATATTAGGAGCTCTTCATATGTGCCTTTAAGTCTTTATTTGAATGCCTTAGTGTGGTTGTATATGTTGACTTCCTTTCTGAATGAATAGATGCCAAAACACATAATAATTACAGACAATAGCACTATTTTTTCTGGCCTTTCATAGGCTGCACAGATGTTTTAAAAGTTTCTTGTTTAAAGACATTTTGTTCAGTGGAGCATTTGCCATATTATCTTTCTGATATTGTTTAGCTATGCATTCAGATTGTGTTGGGCTACGTAATAGTGAAACATATTCCCGTTCCATTGGAGTTCCTCATCTTCAAATTAACAGTTTTATTGAACAAAGCAGAGTAGTTCTGTAATTATTGTAACACATATGCACAGTCACAAAGAGGATTCAGTTTATGAGAGCTTCTAGATCAATACGTTATTGAGGAGTTACACCACCCCCTTTCTGTTAAGATATCTGTGTTAATTCTAATCCTATCATCCATCTACTAATATACCATGCAAAATCATTCACAGCCAATATATTCCAATAGATTCATGACTTTAATCATATAACGGAAATGACATTTAGTGTTTCAGAATCCCCACCCCGATCCTCCGGATGGTATTCAGCCAGTTCGGACCTGTTTGAGCGAACCGGTAGTGGAAATTGAGTAATTCAGAAAACCGGCAAATACCACCTCTGGTTGGGCCCGCCCTCCTGCCCCCATCATTCCCTGTCCTATATTCCCTTGCTTTTTAGCTCAGCTGATTTGCGCAGCGAAAAACAGCTCAGCTCACCAAGGGTGCTGACACGGAGGGCGGTCTTTGAATGCTGCGCGTGCACAAAATGCTCTCTCATAGAACCGGTAGGAAAAGATTTGGAATCCCCCCCCCCATTCCTCCCCCCCAAGTTTGTAAGGTAAAAGGAGATTCTTAGCCACAAGGGTTAAATCATTTTTAAACATAAGGATACTTCAAAGTTCAGTGCATTATTATTTTTAAATTGTCAGATTTGGTCAAATAAAATAAATAAACTTTCCCCACCCTCAAGGAAAAAAACAAACCAGCAGAAATGCAGTGAGAATGAAAATTGTATGAATCATTTAAAAAGAAAATAAGATATAGAGTACATGGATTTGTACTTTTTAAACTGTATAATTTGCATAGGAATTTCTCTTATGTAAAATTGATCTGTTTTACTGTGCTAAATGTATTTGGAGAAATGAAAAAAAATGTTAATTCAATTTGATCTGATTTTCAGGCTTTGTTAGGATCATTATTGCTTCCTCTTCAAAACTGAATAATATTTCATGCTGTGAAAAAACAACAACATTGAGTACATCAAAAACAAAGGGGGACTCTGTCCAGTATTGTTTTATAAAAATTGGGTATTTAAGACAGCTGATATTCTGGCCATAGGATATATTTTCTGTATACTTATTCTTTTTTCTTGGAATTGTGTCTTGATTTATTTGTGTAACTCAGGAAAAGTGCTATCCCAACCAGCTGTTATATGGAAAAATATTTTTGTCACTTTAACATCCCTTTGTTAAAATTTTGATTTGCTCTCTAATATCAATATTCTTCCATTTAAGATTTACTAATGTAGAAAAGGTATTGGAACAATTCAATAAATTTAGCATGATCTGTAATGTTATATTGAAGTCTTAAAGCTGCCTCTTCATAAATGCAATATTAAATGTACAGTGCATATAACCAATTTCTATCTGTAGTATATGCCTAGTAGTGTAAATAAAAACAATGTACTAAATATGTAAATATAAAATATGAAAGATACAACTATCTTGCAATCACCTGTACATCTCAAATATACTATAACAAACTAGTTGCAATAGTCTTTAATTTCATATGGAAAAGCCCATATATTTGTATTACATCAATAAAATGTAATTAATACCCAAGAATTTGTATATATGTGTCTATTATATACTTTTTGGAATTAATAAATGTTTCAAATGAATAAATCTTTTTATGTCAGAATATCTAGGTATAATAGAGGAAAATCTTAAGGATTTTGAAATTATTTTAATGGTAAAGATTGTATGATGAATGCAAAATCATTTTGGATTTTAAATGTGCATGTTGCCAAGTACATAAAAATTACTAGGAGAGACACCCACCCACCCACCAAGGTTTTGCAAACAAAGCCGGAGATAGAGGTAAGATTTCAGTACTGACATCAAATATTGACCTTGTGTTTCTCATTTTTGCTCAAGAGTTTTAAGACAATTGAGGCAATGCAATATATCTTTAAAAGCATATTTAATGAACTGTAACTGCTCTTATATGTGTTTGCTTTTTTATGTAACTATTTTTGTCTCACGGGGCTTTTAAGAATTAAAAAATAGGTCTTGGATGGCTGAAGGGGAAAATATAGCTTCATGTTGAATATTGCAAAAATGAGATGATAATACTGATTCATTCCAGGTGAAAGAACAGGATTTTAAATTTTAAGTTTTAAACTCTGGGTGTTTGTTTTTTTTTTGGTCAAATTCTACCCAATTCCTTTCTCACCCATCTCTTTTGTCATTTAGTAACCTTTCTTATAAAAGATGTACAGATTATATGCTACCTGTTCTGTAAAGGTCCTTTTCATTTATGTAGGGATTTTTGCTTTAAATGCCCTTTTAAAAAATCATGGTAAAACATGGTGGCAAAATGTATGTACAAAAGAACCCTGCTTTCTTTTGATTGTCTTATCATTGCAATCACATTGCAATTAGTGATAAGTATAAGTATAATCTTTATTGTCATTGTACTTAAATACAACGAAATTGGATTCATATCATACTTGAAGAAAATGTTTTTGCGGGTTTTATTTTCTTACTAAAGTACCGAAGACTTTCTCCGCTAAAAGAACATTTTACAGAAATCATAATAAATTAATCCAGCTTTGCTTGGAGCCCTGCAGAAGAATCAAAGTAGATATATAGGTTTATCAAATTCCAAGGAGAAAAATAATAACATTAATCATTTACTTGGCTTTCTTCATGCATATGATTTATTATTTCACTTTATAAACCTTGTTTATTAAGAATCAGTGTACAGATAGCACATATCTCTACGGCTAAGATAATGATAGTAGTCTTTCAATTTCAAATTATCTCA